CCTCCCAGTTTTCCCCCCCCCCCTTTTTTTTTTTTTTTTTTTTTTAGATAATTGTTGTGAGGTTTCGGTAGTTACTGTACCCATGGGTTATACAATAACTGTATCAAAATAGTTCAGTGTAGGAAATCAGATTTGTACAGCATCTTTCCCTTTTCAAAACAATTTAAAACTAAAAGATCGTAGTTTGTATTTATCTCCCAGACTAACAAATTTAAAAGTTCCAAAATTTATGAATTTGTAGCTATTTACCTTGAAAAATATCTTTCTACCTTACCATTTACAATGAATCTTCTGGAACTCTGAATTATTCCTTTGTTAAAAATGTATTTTTCTCTGCCTTACCTGTTATTTATGTACATTCATCCAATTGCATTTCTTTTGTTAAGTGAAACAGGACTGAAAACTGCAGAGTTAGTGTGATTTAAAGATATAACTCTAACACTTATAGAATTGTTTAAAAAAAAAAAACAAACCATTAAGTCAAAATCCTACACTGGGCTGTGACAGTTCACATGTATAGCTAATATTGGGAAAAGAATTTGGTATTTTAAGAAGAAAAATGCACCAGTGAGGCATCTCATGTTTAAGTGGCCCTCGAAAACCTCTTCTTATAGGCTGAGTAGCTCGAACAGGTAAAAAAATTGGGCCATGTTGACTTACAAGAAAAATAACAGAGGGCTGACGATAGGGTGGGATAGAAGTCATTTTATGCAATCATGGCTTAGCTCAGTAGCTATATAAACCCTCTTGGCTGTGTGAGAGAACTGAGTAACTTCAGGTAATTCATCCAAGCTGAAAACAGTTATTGTCATCTTTTTTTTAATGATTTACTTCCGTGTAGCTTCATTAACTCCTTGTGACTTACATATCAAATATATCATTAACAAAACAAAAGCCCAGTCACTGAACAGGAGTAGAGCAAGGAAGGTCTTATGAACTCACTATAGTGTTTTGGATGCCTCCTCCACCCGTCCAGATCTCTCTTGGAACAAAATTTACAGTGAATGTTTTGAAAAATCCAAGTTTTTGTAAAGGAAAAAGTTGATTGTATGAACGGATAGAAACATGAATGCACAAGAAAAGCAAGATGATGGGAGTGAGTACTGGGAAATAGTTGCATTTACGGAATAAACATTAGCTGCATAACAAAGAAAAATATTTGAGGTTGAGTAAACAGATCATCACAAATGTTAAAATGATCAAGAACTCATTTCTCTCTTGCCCAGGCAAATGCAGCTTGTTCAGCACAAACCTAAAATGCCCCCTTCTTTCTTTTTTGTTTAGTTCTTGGGTTTCAGGTCTGATTTTCAAGGTCAATTGCTGTATTTTCAGACATAACAATCTGAAACATATATAACATACATAGAACATGTTTGATAACATGAAACATCTATAACAAACATATACATCTAATACACTGAAGCAGAATTTGCAGGGGATCTCCTGATTTATATGGATAGACAAAGTACGTTCTTATTTAAAAAAACCCCAGAACTAAATACTGAAAATTTTTATGTATTCACTACATTTTTAATGAAGACTCCATCTTCCCCCACAAAAGGCCATGAGTGAGAGAACCTTTCTAATTTTTCCCTGGAGAAATTTTACCATAAGCTTTCATATTTAGGTAAGGCTTAGGATATATTAGAAGAGGTATTGATGCTTTTATTTCTCTTTTGCCTCTACTAAATCTTAGTAGATTTATTCATTAAACTAATAGTGACATACCATAGCTCCTACTGTCCTCATTCCTGCATACTGTTCTCTGCTTAGATCTTGTGCATCCATTTTTGCTCTTCCTTGCCAGAGTCTTGTTTGGTTGGGCTTCTCTGGTTTCATTCTTTCTCGCCTTTCCCTGGAAAAGCTCAGACGTGTTGTGTTGAGCTAAGAAATCCCTAATTCAGTTTTCTAGCATATTGCTGCTGTTTTCTGCTTTTAGTGCTTACTTTTACTGCTTCTCACTGCATTTTTAGAGTTAAAATTGACTGATGGAAAGCATTGACCCTGGAGAAGAGCCATACTAAGCAAGGGGAAGTGTTGATTTACAGGGGGAGCAGATGCAGTTCTTAACATAGGGAGCCAGGATTCTATCATCATATAACCAAATAAGTAAACTGAAATCAGGTTGATGTACAAGGCATGCTAAAATGCAAGTCAAAATGTACTTTTTAAGATTCTCTCTATCTCAGTTGATTTGTTTCCAGAGAAAGTGACGTGAGTAGGTAAGCTTTACTATTCTAATGGTCAAATTAAAAAGATAAGGTATGTATTTGCAAACTCATGGTTGTATGAATAATTTGAAGAGATAGTTCTGGAATTTATATTTGAATGTGGTGACATCTCTGCATAAGTAATAATTTCACCACCAGTTGAAAATTAAAATCTTGTGTCTGGGAAAGATCCAGGATAAAGCCTGTAATCAAGGCAGCTTCCTCCCAAGCTCGTTCCGAGAATCTTTTCTTATGTGATCTTAGGCCCGGTGCTGGATCCCTGAACCAAGGTACATTTGCATTTAGATATCTGCTCTTAAAATTTCATTATGTAATGAATTGTTACGTTGTTCTATCCTACTACTTTCTTGAAAATTGTCATTTTATGATGGGAAATCATGCAAGAAATATGATTTCTACTCCTGAAATAATTATATCGTTCAATCATTTTTGGAGAAAAAGGTGACTGTAATAGGACCGGCTCCTGGAACTCTGTCGGTATACCCAGAAAGAAACAAATGCAGAAGGCCTTGCTATTAAATTGGTGCCTGAGCTCCTTGGCAATGATACATATTCTCAAGTTTTCCCATTTATATTTGAAGCTGTCCCTATTTCTGGGTTAGTGCTTAACCTGATTGTGCGCTAAACAAGCTGGATTGGTGTGTGCAAACACAATATGTACAGATTAGATAATTTTGATGTACATCTAGTTATGCAACTAAGAATACACCCAAGTGTCACCTCTGTACATGCATTTGTCCTGTTTGCACAGAATTTACCATCTGCATCTCATTGAAAAATCACTAGCACTTGTGAATTACTAAAACTATCTAGGTCAAGATGATTTCTTTTACTTTAATTTCATTCATTTTTTTCACATATTTTAATATCTGTTCTTCAGCTTCAACACTGGCATAGCTGCGGCTTTAAATCATTGCCTCAGCCACTTCTGTGTGCCAATGTAAGTTATTTTCCTCCTTAAACCATGCTGTTCTAATTGCATTTTTTTGGTAGAAAGCTCTTGGTGGCAGTAGCAGCTGAAGCATCTCTTAAAGCACCAGATATGTTACATCTAAAAGTGATTTTATGCTTTTTTTCTTAGAGATAAGGGATGTTCTAAATATGTTCTCTTGAATATAAGATGATTCTGTTTTCAGCTGTATCTCAAATGTGAATATAAAGCATCACTCATGCATGCTAGGGTGTATAGATGTGCCCATAAACTCAGCTGGGTTTGAACAAAAGACTAAGGCGTGAAGGTACTTTCTTCACTTGCAGATTAGTCAAGAAAATGCATGGAGGTATGATTAATGCTATGACATTCTAAAAGCTGAATTTAAATTGTGCATGTCCTGTGCTTAATGCAAAGATGACTCGAGTTATGAATCTACTTCTAGAGATGTTTTTGTCACAGATCAGTTTTCACAAGAGACTATTGAGGGTTGCAGGCCCCATTGAGATTTCATGTTGTTTTCTCCAACCTCGCCGAGCCTTGTCATACTACAGAAGTTCTGAGACCTTTCTACTGCAAAAATCAGTATTTGTGTTTAATTCCAAAGGCTTTTTAAGTCTTGGAAAATCAGCCATCATCGACTTAGATCTTGAAATCAATAAATGGGCGATGGCTGACTAGATTTATAGCTGAATGTTTGAAACTAAAATAAACCGTAGGAGGAAAACGTGAATCTGTTCTCAAAGCACTGTCACATTCTGTCTAGAAACAGTTTCAGAATTAATTCCCACTCTTCTGAAGTTAGAATTGTTGAAAATGCTTAATATTATCAGTGAAGAAGACATTATTAACTGGGGATCTTTTATATGATTTGTAGAGAAAATCAGGAGCTTTTTGCTTGTTTCCAATATGAAGAATAGAAACATAAGTACTCTATCCATGTTTCTTCATTTGTGAAAACTAACTTCATTGCCTATTGAAGAGAAGAATGGAAATGATTACCGGAAAAGGACAAGTGCTGTAAAAATAGAAATTGGACTTCTTTATTTAAAAAAAAAAAAAAGTTGGTATGCCAACTGATCACAAAGTAAATGTTAGTAAATCTACTTTTAATACTTAACAGTAAGTTGCAGATAGTGGAAAGCTCTTGCAGGTTCTTTTGAAAAAATAAATTGTGTTTTATGTTTTCCTTTGAAGGGTCCAGATCACCAGACAATCTTATTTAACCACGGAGCTGTTCAGAATATCGCACATCTGTTAGTCTCCACCTCCTACAAAGTAAGACATGAAAATTATTTGGTGTTTTACATATATTTATGAAGGTGATCCAAATGAAGATTATAAAAACTCTGTCTATGTATATGAACTAAAACAGTAAACAGGTATAATGTATATTTCTAGAATAACAGTTGTTCACTTGTCATATGGATTTCTGCCGAAACAAGACCTATTGTTTGAGTGCTCTGTAAAGTTAAAACACTGTTAATTAAAACAGAGCTGGTTTTCATTGAGCCAAAGGAGAACAGTCACTTGGCAACCCAATAAAAACCGTCTAATTTACTGAACAGCAAATGAGAGAAACAGACTAAGACTAAGAGGAGCAAATATGAGCTGTCCCAAACAAAAGTCATACCTGTGAAAACATGGATGTGGAATATATGGAGGCCACCGGCTACCTGTGTTTTGTGCTCACTGAATCTCCTGAGTCTCAGCTTCATCCTCTGTTATGTTTTGGAAGTCCATCCTGGACCATCTGAAAGTAGCACCTCTGGGGTGCATCATACTCTACCTATAACTTGGTGGCAAGGAGGGTCAACTAGCTCTTTCCAGTCTAAGGCCAAAATTTCAAATCCTGAGCAGAGCATAGCCTTAAGAGTCTGCTGTAGATTAGTTAAAAAAGCATAGAACGCTTTCTGGGGCCGCTCTGTGTAGCTTGTTTTTTTGAGGGCTAACAGATGTCTGCTATGCAAATGATTTTTAAATCTGTCTACAATCTCTAAGCAGTTGAACTTTCGTGGACTTTGTTATGAAGATATCATTTTATTCCCCCTCTCCAGAGTAAGAATGTCATCATTCTGAAAATATGAAACATTTCAGAGTATCCCAATTTCTCTTATTTTTATTACAATATCTAATACAAAATACCTAATATGTTATCATGCCATTTTTATTTTATTGAAAGTAGGCTGTTCACTAGTTGATTAAGACTAGATGAGAGAATTGTGCTTGTCTGTTTTGATCTCCTGCCTAATGCAGAACATTCTTGATAATTAAAGTATCTTTCAGCAGGAAAAATTTAAATGAGAATTTCAAGTGAAGGGAAATTTGGTGCTCTGTTCCAGGGGCTTGTTAATCTCCTCTGTGGTGCTTTTTGTTTGGTTTGGGTTTGTTCTTTTTTTTTTTTTAATAAATCCAGTCAGAAGTATGCAGTGTTCAATATTCTGTAATTGAGACTGATAAACTTCTCTTATCTGTCTTTCTCTACTAATTAGTTTTCACCATGATCAGGCAACATTTTGGTCTTTCTCCCTTTAGCCGACCTTTTTTACCCTGTATCTTATGGTGAATTTTCAAAGCTGTGTTTGGCTTAGAACTTTTCCTAATGGCTTTTAACCTTCCCTAATTTTTTCAAAGAGCTCCTTTAAAATAAAGACATTGGAGAAAGGCAAAGTTTTTGAATTGCATTTTCACCAATAAGTTACATGTAGCATTGCATTAAAATATATGTATTTAGTCTTACCTTACTGGAGGGATGTATAAAGTATTCTCTACTTGTTGAGTAGCTTGATCAGGCCTTTAAATTGCAGGTGTACATACTGAACCCCTTTTTATTGCCCTTCATACACTTCCCTGTGTTGATACTCCTGGACTAAACAGCTTCATTGTGCTCTTAGCTGCTTTCTTAGTGTTCTGCAGTAATTAGACATTCTCAGACTTCTAATGTAACTGATAGGTTTTTGTAGAATACAAGCGATCTCATTCTCATGCTTCTCTACTCAGTTTCTGACTATTCAGCCAAATAAGAACTTAACAGGAAAAGACAGCATTTAAAAACTTTGCCTGTTTTTCAGTATTTATAGTAAAGGCCAGCAAGGTATCTCAGATGATTTAGGCAATAGGACCACATCAATAAACAGCAGAAACCCTCAAAATGGGATTTCAGTCCCCATGAGAAGAATTTGTCTAGGTCTGCCAAGAGAATTGCCCATTATTTTTCAATAAAGTCTTTTCCTTTAGTTTTGAGATTGTCCTATAGCCAGATGATTCTACGAGTGTCTTTCCCATGTGTTATATCATTACAGGTGTGCATTTCACCACTGGTGAGATACCTAATGCCAAGGGACTACAGCTTTTACGGCAGCATTACAAATAATGGTTTCAAGACTGTATTTGCATATTCTTCCAAATGATTGTGTTCCCCATTTCTTGTGTAACTACTGCAGTAATTGTCCTTAAGTGGACATTACTAGCAAAGAAACTAGCCATTGTAGTAATTTTTATATCTTTAATAGAGCAATATTATATAAAATCGTTAACTTCCAGCTAGACTTCAGTTGTTCTCATTATAGAACCTTTACCCACTTGCCCCTGACTTCCTTCTGCCAAGAATACAGCTCCTGAGCTGCAGGTTTGACTTTCTTCAGTGCTTTTTTGATACACAATCTCTGCTTCCTGCTGCTTTGAAGTATACACTGTATTCATTACATTGTTGGAAAAGTAAATGGAACAAAAGTATCTGGCATTTGTTCTGAAGCCAGGTAGTCTGCTCTCCATTCCTCCTGACTGACACTTCATTACTGCTGATGAGAAGAGATCTTGCCAAGACTGTGATTAGATATTATAAGATCAGTGCACAAAAGTGTGATTGTCTTTGCTGTTGTTGTTTACCCTCAGGCCTCCATGTTTCTAAGACTTTTTGTCGAGGAGGGTGGGTTGGGCCTAAACCTAACTTGCAGTAAGTGATTTCTGCAGTGATGGGATTCTTTAGGTCAAAAATCTTACTCCTTTTGCTTTATTTTCACACTAAGAATGTGGCAACAGAAACGTGGAAAGACATGGACACAGTTTAAATATGTGCAGCTGTAGAAGGTGAAGTCGAAGACTAATATCTGAACTAAATCAGATTTTTATCTGGGAAGATGATAATGGTTGGTCTTCGCTGTGTCAAAAAAGAGGTTATGAAGACTTCATAGCCTGGCATGACTAGGCAACCATGAAATACTATTTGGTTGAACTGAGAGATGGTTTTGGACTGGAGGAGGAAGGTTCAGCATGAAAAAATTTGTAAAGCCTTTTTGTACAGATGATACCTGAGGCTGTGTAATGGCAGTAAAACTTATGGGTTTTATATTTGTTTTAAGATTAGTTTAGAATCACTTCAGCTGGGTAGTTCTCTTTAGACATTTTATTAAACTTGCCTTTAAAGGCTTCTGGTGTATAAGTCTCAACAACATGCGTTTCTGATTCTCTTACGTACTTACGTGTCCTGGAATTCTTTCCAAAGTACTACTATATAGTGTGTGTGTGTGTGTGTGTATAGTGTGTGTATATACACACTATACTTCCATTCTTTTGGAACATTGTTGTTTGCATGTCTGTGAGGCATCACAAATAAGACCAGTGTTTCTGACTGGTTCCCAAGTTTTATCCTTGCTTGTCTTTTTCACAAATAGTTCACGACATAGAAGGATAATTCCAACAGGAAGATCACAGGAGTCAAGGTGCGAGTTAGATGTTTCCATCTGCCCATTATTTATCATCTTCATTTCTTATTGATGATACAGAATGATTTTCTACAAGCCTATACAGCAGTATAGACCAACTTTGCTTTTAAGTTTGCATTTACATCTATGCTTCATCTATGTTATGTTTCTATACAGGTTCGAATGCAAGCATTGAAATGCTTCTCAGTTCTAGCCTTTGAAAACCCCCAGGTATCAATGACTCTTGTAAATGGTAAGTATAATGCTGCTGTTGGCTTATTTGACACTCATTTTATTGACTGTCTGAATTAGAATTACTTGGAGTTCTCTTTCATTGCTTGCAGTGTCGGTTGATGGAGAATTGTTACCGCAAATTTTCGTGAAGATGTTACAAAGGGACAAGCCTATTGAAATGCAGCTCACATCAGCCAAATGGTAATTTTCTTCAGGAATTGGAATGAAATAGTATGCAATTTAATGCTTACTTTGTTCCTTTTGTTCTTGTTGCAAAATAATATGTGATCTAAAATCTTTGGGATAATTATAGATGTTATTTGCATTATCTAAATCCTTGAAGAAGTGGTTCTCCCCTAGTAATCTTACAGTGTAACTTCCACTCTTTGCTGTACTTCAACAGGAAAAAATGTTGCTGGGCAGCAGTTCTGTCAGGAACTTGCATTGAGATGTGGATTTTCATAAGCTGAACTGCAGCTTTCACAAGTAGCTTGAATTTTAGGATAAGTTTTACTTTGAATAGGCTATAGTCAATTGTATGTCCTTACAGAATATAATACTGAAATATCAGCATGTAATATGAGTTTATGTTCTCGTTGCACTGCTGTTCAGAGGACTCACTCAGGTGACTGGGGCTTAGTGCATTGAGTATGCATTACTGTGATGAGACACAGTAATGAGCTAGTCCTTCTTCCCAACTGTTTTAATTAAAATAGATCGTTCTTTAAGCTTAATGTGTTCATACAGCAGGATTAATGTTGTTAATTAATTTTATAGTTCAAATCAATCTTTCCGTTCTGGTATGGGCACATGTGTCTTCTGTGTGTTCATAATTACTTTCTACCCTGTGACAAAATGAGACCAAGTTCTGTATTGGTAACATTAGGGTTATTTGGTTTGTAAGCTCCGTGAAAGACCCTTTTCCTTTTGTGGTGTTGATGGTAATGGAATAAATTATGTCGGGGGTTAAAGAGATGAAATTACCCATCACTATAAACTACTAAAATCAAATGTAACCCAAGAGTTTGGACATTGGTGTATTGTTTGATTATTCTTTTAGATTTTGATGGCTTGTTTTTGACCTGGATCGGTGAGTTCTCTGATTCGGTTTACCAAACAATTTCCTTGACATTTGATGGTGCAAGGTCTCAAGTTTCTGTGTAAGAAACAAGTGGGATAGGTAGGATGGCCTCTTTTGTAATGTTGCCGGGTAATGATGACTTGACCCATTCATGAAAGCAGTTACAAAGACATGTATGTGTGGGGTTGTCTTAAGAAGGTAATCTCACTCCACGTGTGAGGTCGGCCTGGGGACCTCCCACACTTCCTTCCAACCACAACTGGGCTATGCAATCAGGTTTTACTGGTTTTGTTAGGCAGCTCTTAGTGAAGAAGGCAAGTTGAATTAACTGCATTATAGCAGTCTCAGTTCTGATGGATTTATGTGTTTCTTTGAGAATTCAGAGCATACATAGAGAATTAAGTATTAGAAGGTTGGTTTGGTTGGGCTTTTTTTACTGATCTCAAGATATAAGGCAGTTGATAAGTCATGAAGGCAGGCTGGAGTTAAAAGTTGTTCCGGCTCTGGACAGTCTCCTTGTTCTGGGATGAATGTTCCCAGGTCTGTTGGTGTTCTTTACTGATCTGCTTCAAAGTGGAAGGAGTTGGGTAGACAATCACATCTTTTGCTGTTGCTTTGCAGTACTTTGGCTCAAGTGGACCTTTGAAAGCATGGAAGAAAATGATGCGGTGAAAAGCAAAAAAGAAAATTTCAGGAAAATGGAAGACAAAACAGTATCTTGAGTTTCAGACTGGGTTTCTAATTAGTCCATGGCCAGTCATCCTTCTTACTAGAGCACTCGAGGCCTCAGTTTCACAACAGTCATCAAGGCTCACAAAGACTTACTGGCTTTTCTTCTATAAGTTCACTCCCTACTTGATTCCCTCCAAGTCAGACTATCTCTCCTTTCTTTTTTTTCTAATCGAAGTACTAGGTGAAATTGTCACTTGTCTTCTTTCCGCTTCTAAATTAGACTTCACTCCTGCCTTGCCAGCTTTGGTCAAAATCTGCAGTTTCTCGCTGGTTTATTAGTAGAGCCTTTGTAATGTGGGTGTAGAAGGCTTTTTTTTGTGCATTTGTGAAGACTTCGGTTAAATTTCTACTTGAATCCAGACTGGCATACAGGGCTATCTTAAGAAGTTGCCTTTGCTTTTCAACAATCGAAGCAGACCCAGAAGACCTGAGTTAATACCTCTTGATTGAAATGGAGTAAGGATCCTTCACTTGAGCAGCACTGTTGGCACAGAGGGAAGAGCAGTAAGCCTTCTGGGAGAGTGATCTGCAGCTACAAGTGGAGCAGTAACCTTCTCTCCTAAAATTACTGGAATTGCTTCCAGCTAAGCTAAGCCTATTTTACCTGAAGTAAAAATACTTTAACTTATTTAATGTTTGATGTAGAACTACTTTGGCAAATAGGGTCTAGCTGGACTAAACGGCAACTTCAAGATGAGTGCTTTCCTCCTGATTGTTCAAGTGTGAAAATGATTATTTTGTGATGTCAGCTGCAAGGCTTGGACAGTAAAAGTTTATAAAATGATCTCTATGCAAACAGTCAAGTCTTAGCTTTTCACTTCTGAGAAATAATATAAAGACAGGCATCTCTTCATGAGATTTTTAGCTATGTCTGTCACTAGTAGGTGTTTGGAACAGGATCAGTGATGTTACCTTTTTAAGAGGTGAAAGAACTTTCTTTAAGGCACTTGGAAGGAGCTCAGGAATGCAGTGAAACATGATATGGTTACAGTATGTTAGCATATTACTGCTCCTTAGCTGAGCAATTATAATTGACCCTACGTACACTTTTAACCTGCCCAACTGAGAGTCAAAACATGTTAGTTTTAAGTCACTTTTACTGAAATTCAGTTGTTTTTTTTAAGTTCAACTGTGGCGTGATAAAAGCCAGTTAAATGGCTTAGGTAAAAATCTAAAACAAAAGATACTTGAGTGTTCCTGCACGGAATGCAGAGCAGTTACCTTCCAGCTTCATTCCGCTTCCTTGTAGCAAACCAAGTTAAAAGTATAAACCACTTAAATGTAAACAACTTTTATTGGTGTGTGAACTAGTTTGCATTTCCAGGGCTTGGAGCACATGTACAGGTAGATTAACAAAGCAATTTTATGCATTTGTCTGATGTTGTGTGTCCACATTGTAGTTTGAGACCTTGGAGCTGTCACATCCACTAAGTTGTTGTCTAATAAAGAACAAATGCAAGTTTCGTTCAGTGTCAGAGGCTTAATTGGGTTGATCATTAGCAAGGATGTGCTTATTCCAGCAGTGTTAAAGACGTGCCTGTGGACAAACATCACAACAATACCGCATCTCTCCTCGTCTAATGCAAAGCTTGAATGCTTTCTGACTGAGCTGTCAAACTACCAAACCTCTATTGATTCTCTCCTGATTGTTTTAAGTGCTTGCCTGTGCTGTTGGCACCAAAGGAAAGGTCTATGTATATTGCTCCTTTATCTTAATGAAAGCAGTTGATTTGGGGATTTTTGTTGGTAGAAGAGGTTTGTGGATCAATCAAGCTTGATAGTTAGACCTTTTTTGGCCAGTGTGTGGTGTGTGTATTGATCGGTGCTCCAGCAAGGTGTCCTGTACTAGACATCTGCTTAAAAGTGTGTCTGTAGTAGTTTTGTTCATGTGCCCAAGTCTAGTAAGCACAAATGTATTGAAATCAATGGTAGAACAAAAGGGAGCATTTCATGAATACAGTTGGTTGTTCTGCAACATCTTACTTAAGTGCATAAAAAATGACAATAGGTGAATGTGTTTTTTATTATGTTGTTACAGCCTTACTTCCATGTGCAGAGCTGGAGCAATACGGACGGATGATTCTTGCATCGTTCTTAAGGTGAGCTAGTTAAATGGTTTTCTGTATAACATGTTTTCTCATGTAGGGCTATCTTGGTTCTACTAGTCTTGTATAAAACACAGCACAAAATCAGTGATACTGAAGATTTCAAAGCACCAAGTTTTCCTAATGCTTTTTTTTTTTCCCAGTTAAAAAAAGGAGTGCCTTAATTTCCATTGGTGTCTTCAAGCATTTATAGTGATATGGCTTTTTAAAGAAGTTTTAAATACAGAATCATACTAAAAGATCCAGGAATAAATATCCCAGAGTTTTGACACACATCCATTTGAGGTTTATCATCATTTCAGTAACCATTTGTAATTAACATGGAAACAACATTACTGCCTTGGTCTCTGTATATGAACAAAGCACTGGTTTGTCCTTCAGTAGCTTATTTCACAAGACTAGTCAGAATACTTGCACAATCTATACATGGAATCTGTCGTGATCAGATGATTTCTGAGGTTTTACTATGCGTCATACTTTGCCTAGGGAAATTTGTTAGTAAAAAAAATAAGAAACTGTCATGCTGAAATACTGGATTTGACTTTTATACTGCATGTGACTTTATAAGAAAATTCAGTAAAGGAAACTTTACGTACCATAGGAATGTAATCTCTTTCTTAATAGTCACACTTCTATAGCTAGTAAAAAAAAAAAAAAGGCGGTTGATGAGCAAATATATCAGCCAGAGATCAGATAATACTAACATGACTTGTTTCTCCATGAGATGCTGAAGTATTACTGTAATGCTGCAATAAGAAAACATGTTTGCATTCTTTGACACTTACTGTAGCAGTCTGGCAGACTCCAAAGCTTTTAGTGTGTTTTTAGTGTCCTTCATTCCAGAGAATAACATATAGTTCAGACTTAAGGAAATGCAGCTTAAATGCCTGAAAAAACCCCACTTTTTCCTCATACGTGCCCCTGTACTGAGATTGAGGAGACGACATGTTCTTGGAATGAGTCTAGAAAGTGAAGGATCTAATCAGCAAAGCAGTCATTGTCAGGATTTGGTGGTGTGTGATCTTAGACTCAGTAACCTTTTACAGTTCTTTGGTCTTTGGCGGTGAAGGCTCCTTTGTAGTGTTCAGATCTTCTCATGAACAGACAACCAAGTGTATGCGTGACCGTAGCGTGTGCTGCGAGTCCATGGCACTGCAGGTAGCTGTGTGTCCTGCTTAAAGCAACAAACACTTCTCGCCACTAAAGGTTACTGATTAGTATTTTCTGGCTGTGGTCTGGTGCAAACCCTTGCTTGGCTCCTGCAAGCTTACGTTTTAAACTGGAGAACTGTCACCAGTGTCAAGAACTGTCATTCCAGGTAGACAGATGAAAAATCCATGTGTTGGCTGAGTCAAAGGCCCATCCCTCCTGTCTTTTTATGCAAGACAGTCCACAATGCAGTTCGCTCCTCTGTGATGGTGTTGATAGTGGCATCTGTTCTGCCCAGGCATATGGTCTTACAGCAAGTGAGGAAGCCAAGCTGCATCCTTCTCTGTCATTCTGCTGCTTAGCTTTTTTTTTTTTTTCTCCAAACGGGCACTCCAATTCCCTGATCTTTTTTTCCTCCCTACGTCATCTGCAAACTGAGGGCTCCATGCTCCAAACCTATGTCACTCCTGCAAACTTCATTCTTCTTTCAAAAATTTCTTCCCTTCGGAAAGCCACTGCTGTCTACTTCACTCCAGGCTATGTTCTGGTCAGGATGTGTGGGTTCCACAACTGTTCTGCTCTGGGGAGAAAAACTGGGGGACTACTGCTCTAAGGCAAAGGCAGGTTATTGCTGATAGCTGGCTGCTAACTCTGCCACGTGAGCCAAATGGATAACTGCAGTCCTTTCAAACCCTTATGAACTGATTTGCTTGCCAGCCTACAGCAATAGGAGCACATTCTTTCTCGTGAAAGCCGGTTCTGCGCAAATGTTGTAAACTTTGGACTAAAATTTGTTGTAATACTTGAGAGTAGACAAAAAAGTGAGGACAGATGGAAGGCACAGAACCTTGCCCTCTTGTTCAAACAACTCATGTGATTTCTTCTTTTCTTCTGGGGTCGCTCCAGGAGCTCATAGTTTTAAGATAACACACTGTCTCAGTCTGTGGTAAATGCAGTCACAAACTATTTGACCTCTGGTGAACTAAAACAAAGCAATGCCCCCTTCAGTGTTCAGGAACTATTGAAGTTTGACCCTTTGCTATCAAACTTTATTCATTTGGAGGATAGTCAGGATGTGTGTTTCTGAAACGGTTTTGATTTATTTTCATTGCCCAGATTGAGTAGTGGCCTGGCCTGTAACATGCGAAAAAATAAAATCAGTTGGTGTGGGGAGAAGACTGAGGAGGCTGATAAATAATGGATTTGCTTGGAAAGGAAATTATTTCTCTGGAGTCCTAGTAATGAAAGTGACCATTTGTCCAGATAACCCTGGCGCATCCCAGCGACACCACGTGAATTAAGTATTCCATCTTTACAGTCCATTTTCAGGCTTTTCTGCTGGCCAGGAAAGGTCAGGTATGCTCTGTGGCTTTTCATCTTACACCTGTAATACAGTTCCCTACTCTGCATTAATTACATTGTAGTGACCCATAGGTCTAATGGAACAGTTAAAATGTGTCCTTTGGAATTCTTGATTTTGTTTAATGTTAAACAGGTGGAATTGTTAAAACTTAAAGTATGAGATACGTGTTTCTTGGGTGCTTGCAGCCAGTGACTTAGCAACGTCTAGCCCTTCAATTCTAAGAAATAGCTCATTTCAGGCCATTTGACCTTGGAAAGAACTGAGAAGTACAATGTCTTTGTGGTTTAGGCATGGAATTCCACTTCTGTTCTTTCTTAGTCAACTTGAATGTCATTTTTTGAGATCTTACGTTCAGCTTTCATGATTTTACTTATGCCAGACTCAGTTTTTAATTTACATTATGCCAGCTTGGTAATCGAAACTGGTGATATTTAATCATTATAGCACAGTTCTGAATTCTACAGATTAAAGAGTCTAGTAATAATTAAACACCTGAAGGCTTTAAAGCAAACTTTGAACAAACTTGCAGAGGTCCTAGAAATGTCACTTTTGGAATGAGGTGATTTCTGAGGGATATTTAAAGTTACCAGCCCTCAGCAGCTGTCTTCTCTTTTAAAGAGTCCTGGCTAACTTCGTAAGGAAGCAGGAGGTCATTAGGTGTGTCTGCTAATAGAACCAGTTTTTAACTGTTCAGGCTGAAAGTTTTATCTGATGTCTTAAGTAACAGATATTCAGAGAAGAGGTGCTTTGGCCCACTGGAGTGGGTGCAAGATTCACGACCTAAATAGTAATCCTTGTGGTAGCATCTACTTTTTAAATAAATATAGCCAAGTCCAGTAACTGCTTCCTTGCCTGGTGAATGGAGATCAGATATTTATCTATTTAATCATTTGAACAGTCAATGGATAAATGTTATTTCAGGTCCCCAAAAACACAACTCTGAGAAACATTTTCTACTAGCATAATTCTGTTGAATTTGGTGGAGTTACACCAGCAAAAACTTTGATATTATTCTTCATGCATTTTCACACTTCTTGTTGGTGAGGCTTGAGTGAACAGAGTCCCAACCATTGGAGAACTGGTCTTTCCAGAGTTAAGTGCTTTTCATTGAGCTTCAGGTAAAGAAGGATTTGATTGGGGTTTTTATATTTGAAGTAGAGCAGGTATGACAAAAATGTTGCCATGTGAGTGTAACCAAAAGTGGACCTGGATTCCAAGTGGGCTTCATTTGTGATTGACCAAATACAGTAGTAGGAGTAGTCCTCCCTTCCCTACTACCTGTAGCAGCCAGCATGGGCCAGGGAAGCCCTGTGATTATTTCTGACTGCATTGTCCTTAGTCAATCCCAGATTGCAAAAGGGCAGGAGGGGTCAAGTACTTCTTGAGAGCAGCTTGGGTACTTTTGGCTCTTGTGTGTAGTAAGAATAAATCTGTGCAAATATGAATTTTTGAGGGGATATTTTTTGTTGTTGGTGGTGTTTTTAGCTTTTACAAAACTTTGACCATGGTCACTTCTAAATATTGCATTGACACAAACTAATTTTAACTGCATGAGAAGTTGGTTGAAAGTAGCCTACTGTATACTTAGTAATGCCTGAACAATTTCTCTGTGTGTGGAGTCTTAAAACCACTAAAAATCCTTTTATCTGAAAAATCCTTTTATCTGAAGGTACCAATCTAAAGAACATAATTGAGAATTGCTCGAGGGTAGCTGTTTGATTTCTGTGAGCTTCTTTATGAACGTAGCTGCACTAAACAGTGATGGTTTAGTTGTTAATAATTTTTTTTTAACTTTTCAGACTCTGCCATGTTTGGTTCGAATGTGTAGTAAGGAAAGACTGCTGGAGGAGCGAGTAGAAGGAGCAGAAACGCTGGCCTATTTGATTGAAACAGATGTGGAGCTCCAGAGAATTGCCAGCATTACCGACCACCTCATTGTCATGCTTGCTGACTACTTCAAGTATCCCAGCTCAGTGAGTGCAATCACTGATATCAAGAGGGTACGTTTCCTTACCTGGTTCTGAAGCTTTGAAAATGTGCAAAAAAAAAAAAATAGTAAATGGGCTCAGGATTTTTTTATTCTATTTAAATCTTATGTCTGAGTTGCTTAATAGAAAGGTGACCAGAGGTCCAGCAGGACTTGATTCCTGATGCATATAGTCCCCAAGTCTTTGCTCACTCATTGTTTTTTCTGGAGCCTGTATTATCTAAATTAAAATTATTGTGTATATCCGGAGTCCTGTAAGAAGGATGCTGCCATTATTCTACATGAAAGATAGAGAGATGGGTTATGGGTAGTTTAATATAGCTTCACCATATGAGTTCCATTATATTTTCCAGCGTTAGCAGTGAAGTACCAGACTGAGACATCTGTCATGTTTCTCCTTTGCAGAGCAGATCAATCAACCTCAGAAGCAAGATTGCCTTTCAGTACTTCAAGGGGGCTTGTAAGAAAAATGGGGACAGACTTTTTAGCAGGGCCTGTAGCGATAAGACAAGGGGTAATGGTTTTAAACTAAAAGAGGGCAGATTTCGATCAGATATAAGGAAGTACTTTTTCACAATGAGGGTGGTGAAGCAGTGGCCCAAGTTGCCCAGAGAGGTGATAGGTGCCCCATCCCTGGAAACATCCCAGGTCAGGTTGGACAGGGCTCTGAGCAACCTGCTCTAGTTGAAGATGTCCCTGCTCACTGCAAGGGGTTGGACTACATGGCCTTGAAAGGTCCCTTCCAACCCAAACCCTTCTGTGATTCTATGTTTTTGGTATTCTGCATAGGGAAATATCCATTGCCTATTCCCTTCCCCTCTTACTGAGTCTGATTTTTAGAAAGTACACAAAAAAAAGGATTACAGAGCCTTGGTTTTTCTCTGAAACTAGCCCAAGAGGTAGACTTACTTCTCCGACTTTTATAGAATGAGATTGATTCTGCATATAGAGCTGCCTTGAATTCTATGTAAAAATGCAAATTAAATACTAAAACAAAAATTAGGTGTGGTATAAAATTGCATAAGCGGAAGGAAGTTTACCAGCTGATTGGGAAGTTACGGACATTGGCTGTAGCATCAAAAATATGGTTAGATTCCAAATGTGAGTGGGGCAATGATAAATATTATGACATTGCTTTGAGTGTTCAGAAAGTCTGTAAAAACAGTCAGCTGGGAAGCCAGGGTGCTTGCTTTGTAAAGAATGCTTTGAATTACACCTTGTAAGGTAAAAATTACATGAGTGAGGACTCTGCCAAACAGATTACTTGTCCGTTTGAAATATTTTTAACAATGAGGTAATACATTCTGCTCCAATATAGCTGCACCAGAGAGAATTACTCATACAGCTTAATTTTTGGTAGTTCTTTTATTTCAGCACTTTGCTGCTTAATACTAGTATTTTTCTGGCATTTTGTGTAGGCTTCAAATATTGCATCGTTTTGTAGAACCCTTTGGTAGAGAGTTTGGAGGACAGTCAGAATCATAGAATCACTCTCACAGGAAAGAACGTGAGGAGGTCGGACAGTCTTAATTTTCTGTTCAAAGCAGGGTCAGTGCTGAGCTTAGGTGAGATTGCTCAAGGTTTTGTCCAGTTGGCTCTTGAAAACCAATAAGAATGGAGATTGAACAACCTCTCTGAGCAATCTGTTCCAAATCTAATGGTGAATTTTTATTTCTTTCTTCTATTCACTAAGAACTTCTCTGCTTTCAGCTTGACTGTTGTCTCTCCTTCTCTTACTGTGCACTTCATAAAGAGTCTGGCTCCCTGTTCTTAGAGGTATTGGAGGGCTGCTCTAAGGTCTCCGCTCAGTCTTCTCTTCTCCTGGCTGAACGAGCCAGGGTGCACCCTATCTGCTCCTCCAGGTCTGCTTCTCCTGAAGTCAAGGCTCTGTACTCTGCTCCCTGCCTTTCTCAAGCCCCTCAGGAACTTGGAACACCACTATTTTATGATCCCTATAGCTAGTGCTCCCATTAATTATCAGGCCCCCAGGCAGTTTTTCCTCATTTGTGAGCAGGCTGTCAGTGGTGCATCACCCTAAGTGACCCCTCCAGCACCTGTGTTAACAAGTTACCTTCCAGAAACCTCGTAGACAGTTTGCACCCTGCTGTGTTGCCTTTACAGCAGAAGTCAGAAGTTAACATCCACCTTAAGACGGAGGTCCTGTGGTTTGGAGACTGGCTTTGGTTCCTGCTGTTGCTTCAGTTCTCTTGATAAAACTTCCCTTGATTCCCTCCCACTTTTTTAACTTCTCCTGGCTAGTTCCTGTAAGTTTCTGTTGAGTAAGTGAGAATAGTTTTTGCCTGAGTGTGATTTGGAAAGACTTGTAACTTCGTAAAAGTGTTTTGGCCTCAAATTGTTTAAGTTGACTTATCTGTAAGTCAGCAGGGAAATTAACCATATTCTTAACTTCAATTGTAGTATTCAGTTGGTAAATGTGGACATCAGCTAATGGACCAGCAGTTCATCTGTGTTTTGGGTTGCCCTTGGTGTGGTAGACAAAACCTCAGTGATAAGCACTAGTTTACACCAAATAACAAAATTGCACCTGTCATTTTTTTGTGTCTAAATTTGCTATCTGTGCTTCATTTAAACAGCTTGACCATGATTTGAAGCACGCCCATGAACTGCGCCAAGCTGCTTTCAAGCTCTATGCTTCCCTGGGAGCAAATGATGAAGATATCCGAAAAAAGGTGAGCCTGTGAAAAATGTTAGCAATCGGGCAAAGGTGCAGCTGAAAGGCAGCGCAAGCATTTGCACACTTCTGGCACTTTTTTTTTTTTTCATTTTGGTGTAAATAGGTTGAAACAAGAAGGCTCTCTTTCTGTTACATAAATATCAACATTTAGATTGCATTTTCTGAACAACAATTAATGTCTTGCCATAACAAAATATGAGTAGAGTGTATTTATGTAAATATTCTCGCAGTGATGAACTAGATTCTCACAATAAGTTGTCTTTCAACATGTGGTCCTTGCTACTCATAATCTGTGCAGGAATATTGTTGTGGCATATGAGTAATTTCTGAAACCTGTGTTCCAAGGGACAGAATATACCTCTGTTGTCCTGTATCCTACTATAAAACAAATGTTATTTCAAAAATAAACCCTTGAAAGTCTAATCATATTAGGAAACAAAGCCACAATTCGGTCCATGATTCTGAAGTGATCAAGGGGGCTTACACTATTAAAACAAAGCAGTTGGTGTCAAGGAGAAAAAGCTCTATTCAAACATCACAGGAAAGAGATTGGATGATTGGAGCACTCATACAGATAAAAATTTATGTGTGGAAAGTGGAGGGATATTAAACAATGAATGATTAAAAGCAGCGTTTTTTCTAAATTAAGCATGGAGTTGCTATGTCAAACGTGGCAAGTACAGGAGGCAAGAGAATTTTGTGAGTTTGCTTAATGGTTAAAGGGAAAAAAGAGAAGGAAGAAAGATATGGATAGGAAGGAGGCAGGAAAACGCAGTGTTGAAAAGATAAATAGGAAGATTTGTCAGTGGGGAACCATTCAGGATCTCCAGAATTCAAACCCATAAGCTTCTTTTTTTTTGTTATTTTTTAAATTTTTTTTTATTGCAGGATGAACTTCTTTAGTTAATAGTAAGGGTTATTCTTTTACATATCAAAGCATTGTTTTTAATAAGTGATGGGTGTGTACATGACAAAGTTGATCTATTACACAAAAGCTGTCTTTCATCTTGGTATTGACTCTCTTTTATCCTAGTCTTAAATTCTTGTGCTGACCATGTCTAAATATGGCAGATTAATTACTATGTGCTTTTTCCCAGAGAGCTCCACAACCTGTCTCTAATCTGTAGTTTGTATATATTGTGTGCACCCACACATGCTCTCTTTTGTTTTAATATGACATTACGGGTAATTCATATATATAACCCTCTCGCTCCTTGATGATTCATAAAATAATTTTGAAAGAAGTAGTAGAGCACAGAAAGTAATGTTTTTTTTCTAAATTGTATGCAAACACACAACTATTTTTCACTTAGTCTGGGAAGAGAATATGGCTTGCTGTTTTCAGCTACGATTTCATATGCAATATTTAAAAGGTTGCAGATAAAAGCAACAACCCATAAATGCTCGTATTTTATTTGTATAACATTAATTCCTCTTGCTCCAGATCATTGAAACTGAAAATATGATGGACCGTATTGTCAATGGCTTGTCTGAATCTAGTATCAAGGTGCGATTAGCTGCAGTCAGGTAGGAGGCTTTTCTGATTCATACAAATGCTTTTGTCTTGTCCAAGTGTGATGCTACGCTTGTTAGAATTTCTGCTAATTTTTCAAAAGCTAATCTGAACTCATTTCTACTGTTGGAAAGTTTATGGGAGGGAGAGGAAGTTATCCTGGACTAGTACAGTATTTTCTTTCTGTTCTTTGCAGGCTACTACTTACCAATTCCAAGATGAATCTTTGTGTAGAAGCAGTGTATATATTACATTAATGTATGTGTGAGTGTGTATGTCTCAGTGAAGGTTTTTGTTTTCCATTATAGATGTTTGCACAGTTTGTCCCGTTCTGTACAGCAGCTCAGGACAAGTTTTCAGGATCATGCTGTATGGAAACCTTTAATGAAGGTAAGTAAAGTCAAGTCTCAGCTACCTGGAGTGTTTTGCTCCATTAAAGGAAGATATGGTGTCTGTTCAATTTGCATGCCTTTCTGTAGAATCATGGTAGAAATTAACTAGAAATCAAAATTCCATGACCTTTTCGTAAAAGAATCTTAAATCAACAAAAAGTCAAGCAGTAGCAAAGATGACTGTGGTCCATGCTTGGTTTTTTGGTTGTTTTTTTTGTTTTGTTTTGTTTTTGTTTTGTTGTTTTGTTTTGAGGTTGTTTGTTTGTTTGTTTGAGTGATCAGTGAGTGAGGCTGTTAGCCCTAACATTTACATAGGGCACTAGGTGGACTATATCTCCTTTAATTTCAGGCTCAGACTAGATGGCACAGTTCAGACTTGGTCTATAAGGCCCTACAAGAGAATTTAGATCTGTGTTTTCTCCTGTAATTCTCTACCTTCTAGATCTCATCGCAGATCCTAAAACAGAAGGCAAAGAGCTCAGCAAGACCTTTAAAAAGACACATTTTAATATAATGCAATTATACACATGATTAAATGGAATCAAAGGGTGTAAGGTATATATCATGTCTCATCCTGTAATGCGACTGTCATTAAGTGCAGATACATAAACCAGTTTCTCAGTTTCAACACCTTTTCAACCTTGAAAATGGGGAACAAAGTCTGCTAGCAAGAAGCCTGAAAGCTTGGGCAGTATAGGCATCCATGAGAATCACAAAGAGAATAACCTGAAGTGAGCTTGACTCTATTCAGAAGTAAAATAGCCAGACCAGAGAAAGTGGTGTTGGCAAAAATGAACTGATAACAAGGCAGTTAATGTCAGCTGACTGTCCAAAGCTTCACTCAAGAGCCTGGAAGGAAGTAAAGGATCAGGAGATCCTTCAGTTACTTCTAGTGATATTTCAATACAAGAAAGATGCCCGTTGGGTGTACTACTCGGTGACATTTTATTCTCCGTTCTGCTTAGGTTCTAATTCTCACAAGTTATGGACTCAAGAAAACTTGACTCACTAGCTACACTACACTCTCTGGCCACCTTGTTGGCTGCAGGGCAAGAAACTCTTTCAGCCTTTTATGTTGCTTACATGAATTAGAGGCCCTAAAATATGGGCTTACTTTTTTCTACCGTTTCATGATACAAATGATGTGGAAATTATTTTCTCACAATATATACAATACACTTATTAGAAGTTAAGCATTCATCCTGGGAATTGTGTGTGTGAGTTGTGATACTTATCCATGGGTGTCTAATTCATTAATCTTATTGAGAGGTCAGGGGAGATGTGATCATGCAAGTTTTTGCTATCACTGTAGTATAATAATCCCATGATACAGGATACATGATCGTCACCTGAAGGGGCTTGGAGGGAATGGTTTGAATATTTTAAGAGTTTTTGAAAGACCAAACATGAAAACATCAAACCTTCATAAATGTTAAAAACAAAGACGACAGGATTGCTTGAAGCAGCACAACTAGCGTAAAAGGAGAGCTATGTGAAAAAAAACAAATGTAGGTGTCAGACTTCGGTATAAAAGTGGTGGCTGGCAATTGTTCATTTTGATTTGTATTAAATAAGCTGAAGTCAGAAACTTGTATGTTCATTCCAAAATGTCAAGAATTATTCTTAATAGAAAACTAAAGGTAAAATTAAATAAAGATAAATGAATTTTCAGTCTAGATTAATGACAACTACCTACGTCCTTTCTCTCTCCCCGAGCATGTATAGCCATATAAGCCATGGAAGAATAATTGCAGAGTCACAGAGTGATTTGGATTGGAAGGCACCTTAAAGTTCATCTAGTTCCAACCCCCCTGCCATGGGCAGGGACACATTCCGCGAGACCAGGTTGCTCAAAGCGACACCCAGCCTGGCCGTGAACACTTCTGGGGGTGGGGCATCCACAGCTTCTCTGGGCAACCTGCTCCAGTGCCTCACCACCCTTGTAGTGAAGAATGTCCTCCTTGGGTCTAATCTAAATTTGTCCTCTTTCAGTTTAAAGCCACGGCCCCTTGTCCTATCACTACATGCCCTTGTAAAAAGTCCCTCTCCAGCTTTCTTGTAGGCACCCCTCAGGTAGCTGGCAGGCCACAATAAGGTCTCCATGGAGCCTCTTTATGCAGCCCAGGATACTGTTGGCTTTCTGCCTAAAACTATAGGACTTGCACATATGTACTTTAGTGCAAGCTGCTGTAAATGCAGTAGTAGTTAATGTTTGCAGTTGCTAACTGCTTAGAAGCAAAAGGTGGTACAGAACCTCCCCTCCATTCCCCCTTTCTTTGCTGGAGCAGCAGTTGTATCCTTCATGCCTATTTCCTCACTGAGTTTTCTCAGAACACGCAAGGGAGATGCTCTGTTTAAGACAGACATGTATTGGTCCCAGTGGAAATCCAGGCACAGATAAGAGAGACACTAATTTGTTCCAGGCTACTTGCTTTTCTGAAAAGGTGATCATGAGGATATTTGCTGTGTTTTGCTTTGCATGAGGTACGAAAGTCTTGAGTAGCCTTCTCCTCCGCTTTCCCGTAAACCATGACACAGAGGTGTGCTGCAGGACACAGCCTTCTCTGTGTTGAGAGATTGTCTGCAGGGTTAAATTACAACTGCTAGCACATGTATGCTTTGCAGAGTCGGGGTCTGTTCCCACTGGTTTCTTTTAAATTGGACCTGAAAGTTCTCAAATCTGGCTTCTGTGAAACAACTTTGCGTTGCTTCAGCTTGTCATCACATTGAGTTGAATGAACACTGTCCGGATCTGCACTGCTAGCATCAAAGCACCTCCTAAAGTATGGAATATCAAAGTGCAGAATAACTACAGGTATTCCATTTCAAAATGATCCCTTCCTTATGCTACTAGTTAATGGTGATTCCTCCCTCTCCCCTTTGTGACTGCAGGTTTTACAGAATGCTCCAAATGAAATTCTTGTAGTAGCATCTTCCACGCTATGCAATCTTCTTCTGGAATTCTCTCCAAGCAAGGAGGTTAGTATTGATCCAGAAACAAGAAGAGGTAACGGGCAACAGTTACATTATACAGTGGTTCAATAAGCATAAAGGTATCTTAATTGGTAGCCACCACTTGTGAAGTGTTATAAAGCTGTAATGTTAGGCAGACTGTATCACTGATAGCTTGTGAATAAAAAAAAAAATCATATTTACAGTGCTGTGACGGATAAATGTGGTTGAATAGTTGAACATAGTCTCTAAAGAAAAGTAGTCATGAAACTATTATCTTAAAAATTCATAAGCAAGAAGAAAACAAACTGATAATTGGCAATATGACCCATTGTCTTAGAGAACTACTGCTGTAATCTTGAAAATGTTGGCATAGCTGACTCTAACGGTTTTTATTGTTCCTGAATGAACGATACAGGATACGTGTTCTTGAGTTCTGCAATGTCTGTACTTCATACAGATCATACATACATATCAATACTTCATAGCCCTGGAACAAATCCCCAGTGAGGACATTTATCCAGGTCTTAAATATTTCTTAACTACAGAAAACATTTGCAAGATTGTGGTTATGTGTGGGCTCCTACAGGGCACTTTGGATTACCTTGGTTTGATCAATTGATCTTGGTGGTTTTAGTCATGTCTGTGAGACAGAAAATTAGCTGAGATAACGCCAAGCACAGTTCACTGGCCCATGGGCTTTTTTGTTCATAATACAGGTCACAGTCAGCATGGTGTTTCCACTTCAAATTGGATTGAAATTCTGAATTTTCTGTTGGGACACATGGTTCATGTAAACATCATTGCCAAAAGAAAATACTGTTTCTGCAAAATGAAGGGATATTTAGAAATGTTAGATTTGAAAGCATCTATAAGCCATCTGATATTCATTTGATAGATCACCTTTTTTTTTTCTACATAGTATTTTGAAAATTGTATGTAAACTACCAGTCACTTAAGTAAATAAACAAAGCTGAAGTGGATCTGTATTTTACTCTGTAAAAGAGCTGAGTCAAAACCAGTTTTGGAATGCCTCCCACCTGCTGTGGCTGTAGAAGAGTCCCTAGGAGCCAGCTAGCTACTGAGCCCGTGGCGAAATCACTGTCAGAAGGGCCTGGGACCGGGTGAACATCAGCACAAACTGCTGCTGCCTGGTTCTGTTACGGTCTTGCTGCTGTTCAGTGACATGAGCCTGTTTCTACAAAGTGCAGCCTCTCCCCACATTCCTGTTTTCTGATGAATTCAGCTCCTAAATGAGTTAAACATGCAACTTCTGAAAAACTTAGATATGTTCAATTACTCACTGCTTTTGAAGCACTAACTTCTGGAAGAAAGGAACACCTTACAAACTAGAGCAGCGTAAGTCATGGGATGAATCCTTTCAGCACATGAGCTCTTCAGGTCTTGGATAAAACTAGTACTTCAAATTCAGTTCAGGTTGAAAGCAGCTGTTCTAAACTTAACTTTCAATACATTAATTGGTTCGAAAGAAAAGGTGCATGTACTGATATTTTTCCTGTAATTTAAAAATGTGATACGACAAGGTTTTGCATTTCAATCTGATCATCAAGAATAGTTTCTAGTTTTCTTTATTATGCTAAAGTTTTTCTGTTGGATTTTAGTTTGGTCTGATTACTAAACACAAAGAGTGAACGCAAAGAAAGATATTGAGCAGCTTACATTGTCCTTAACATCTTTTAAACAGTCACATAGGTCCCACTTGATACCCGAAGAGATGCGATTGCTCAAGGAAGACTGTTTTTGGAGAGCTGTCCTAGGCTGAAAGTTGCTGGGGAGCACCCGTTTGCTTGTATGAGTGTGGCAGATACATGTACACACACACACACACGTGCATGACTCTATATATACATGTGTACAGATACATGGATACACATGAGAATAAATCTGTCTGAAAAACACAAAGCTGAGTTTTTTCAAGAAAACCTACCTTTTAGTATTAATGAATATAGGGTATGGCTTGGCCAGTTCATGTGAGTGGACTGGAAATGTAAACTCAAGATACAAGTAAGACTTTTGTATTATATTTACATTTATATATATGTGTAATTAGCCTAAGTGCTTTAAATATTTTTTTTTCCCCTCTCTTCATTTTAGCCTATTTTAGAATCAGGAGCCATAGAACTTCTATGTAGTTTAACACAGAGTGAAAATCTTGCCTTGCGAGTGAATGGCATTTGGGCTTTAATGGTAAGTAGAACACACTGATGAAACACTGCTTGTGATTTTGCTGCTTAGGAAGTTTTGAATGTAACTTAAAGAACTCGTCAGTTGTTATTAAAAGTAATGTGGCAGAAACCTGACTTGTTTTTCTACCTAACTGCAGAAGGAAAACAGTACCAGCCTGGAACACTTCATCAATTAGTCCATAAAATAAAATAAACTTTTCTCTTCTGATACCAGTCTGGTTTCCAGCATCATTCAGGGAAACAGTTAAGTAGTGTCAGTAGCATGCCAGGGGACAAATAGAAGCAGTAATAACCAGGTCAGCTGTAAGACTGTGTGCAAATTTAATTCACTGTGTAGCAGTTCCTCATAAATGATAAACTTTGCAAGATTAATTTTAGCGAGGATATATGCTTGCAGGTAATAGTCAACTAAAAGAGTGAAAGCCCAAGTTAAAGGTAAAAAATAAAGTAAAAAATTTCTGTCTTTTTCAGAATATGGCATTTCAAGCAGAACAGAAGATCAAATCAGACATCTTACGAGGTCTGAGTACAGAGCAGTTATTCCAGTTGCTTTCTGATTCTGATGTAAATGTTCTAATGAAAACTTTGGGACTGCTCAGGAATCTTCTGTCGACTCGCCCAGTAAGTAGAGCTGCAAACAGACCTTCTTCTGAAAGCTGATGAAATATACACACAATACAAATTATTCTTAATCTTTTTTGTACGACAAGTTATTTTGTTTATGACTAATGTTCAATATGTTGCTAAAACTGAGGCCTTTGGATTTATCCAAGTTTCTGTAACCAAATGTACAAATAGGTACAAGAAAACATTTGAAAGAATTCTCTACGTCCACTGAAACTTTGTAATTATTATCAAATACAGAGCTAGGCAGTTACATTTAATGTTCAATTCCATTGCATTTAGCTTTCAGCAAAATTATTTTCCTAACAATCTTTCTGTGAAACTTATCCAGAACAACAATAAGAGGGTTGCACTGTTGAGTCGATGTGTGGAGAGGTACATGTCTTAAGGATACCTGCATTTCTTCTTTCTTGACACCTGAAGTATTTCTGTTCATATCCAAGCTATATAGATAGTACTGGCTTTTTGAATTTGACTGTGGGACTGTGCACTTACAAAATGCATACATTCATTTTACACACTGAAATAAAATTGTTTGAAAATGTAAGCCCATCAATTGTTTTTGACAGGGAGAAAGAGATATTGGTGGAGGAAAAGAAAGGGGTAATCCCCTGTGAAGAACAGAGGGAAAACATGCAGCAAACATTTGGCAAGCCAACATTTTTGTGGGGGAAAAAAACCACGAAGCCTCTACTGTGCATTTATCACGTATTGTGTTTCTACCATAAAAAGGTCACTGCAAAAAATCTTCTGATATTTGTACTCGTTGAGTCTCAGCTTCATAGAAAATTAGCTCTGTCTTAATGTAAAAAGATACTTAATAACTAGTCATTCATTAAATTCACCCTGAGCTCTGAGAGCAGAGTCTCATTATCACTTAAGGTGTTCTTCATCTGAAACTACACCCCAGCTTCACCTACTTTCTGTAGTATGTTTTATAGCCGGAACCAACCGTTCCTCATTCTCTACCCAAAACTCACTCCAGAATAACTCATCCAGCAGCTTTTGAACAAAGTCTCGTTATTAGCAATTTTAAGAAGTCCTACAAGAATCCCTAACATCTTAAAGAATTGTAGTGTGCCGTGTGCTGGTAATCTCTGGTGGCTGTGTGCTGTCACTCTTGAGTTTTGGTATCAGTTAATCCAGTAGATCTAGTTTCATCTTTTTCTGTTAGTCCTAATGATCAATTTTATTCTAGTATAGGTGTTCATAGTCTGTGATCAGATGACCTTTTACCTGTAAGTCTCTTGAGACAGTTTTCCTAGATGATAAGTAATGTATGTGGCTTATTTCTCTGAACCCTCTCAGACTTTGGAAATGTGGATATTGGTCCTGGTCATAGTGTTCCTGTAAGTGTAGCAAATACCAGATAAGAAATCTCACTTTTCTTACCCCTCTCTGATATCCCCCTGTTATCAGAAGAGAAGTGGTTCTTTCTAACTGCAGCATCACACTTAGAGCTTGGGTCCAGCAGGATTCAGTCTTCAGACTGGCCTCCATGCAGCTGGGAAACCAGTGTCTTTTCTACAGTGAAATCAGAACCAAGGCCCATATCGTGCTTTCTCAAACAAGACCAGGCTTCAAATGAAGAGGAATATTATGAAGTGTTTCTGCTGTCATAAGTTCTTGTTTTTGGGAGACCTCCCTGGTAGCTAGGGTCTTTGTGCAATGTTGCTACTCTTTACTTAGAGTATTTCAAGTAGGAATTGTCCCTTATTTGTCTGGAAAGTTATGCTGATTATATTTCATCATTGCTTTGGCAGCACATAGACCATATAATGAGCACTCATGGGAAGCAAATCATGCAAGCAGTGACCCTCATTCTGGAAGGGGAGCACAATATAGAAGTCAAAGAGCAGGTACCCTTTTTTGTTTCATGTTATCTTGGCAGAGTAAAATTTAAGGAACAGCTAAGAATGCTTACTCTTCTCACCATGTCATTTTTGTTTGGGATTATGATGTGCTGTGAATATTTTACTGAGCTCTGTCAGATAAATAACTTCAGTACCTACAAGAATGCTCTTCTTTCTAATAGATTATTACAAATGTGTTTGAATTGAATTCAGAATATTTTTTTAAATATATGTTTGTTGGTGAGAGCAGAAGAATTAAATCTACGGCAATTGCATAGCAGAAAGGGGACAGTAGGAACAAGGGAGGAGAAAGTATTTCACGCTGGGGAAGGTGTCCTGGTTATTTGCTCCTGTAGCAGCCATTGGAGCAGTCAGTAACGAAGAATACCATCATTGCCTGCCTTGCTGGCAGTAATACGTGTGGTACTGGGAGATGTGGTAACTCAGCTGGTCTTGGGTGCCTGCAGGAGCCAGCGGCGATTAGAGGAGGACAGGCACTAGCAGGGAAAAGAGCATGCTGGTGTAGCCCAAGAGAATGTGGGGAGGGATGTGCCCTGACAAATTAAAACTTAAGAAAAGCAATATGCAAGAGGAAAGGGAGAAGGGGAAGAGGAGATGGCCAGTAGGGAAAAGCATCCCTGGCTTGGTGGCAGCATAAGGGGGCCAGTATACAGGGATACCTGCTGTGGGAATACTGAAGCGAAAGAAAGAGGATAGGTGAGCAGAATTTGGCTGATGAACTCGTGTGACAGACAAGACAGTCAGTTGGAGAACCTTGTTTCTTTCTCATACAGGGCTTTTGGTGATGAATAATGGGGGCAGCGAGAAGCTGGGGGAGATTCCAGAGGATTGCTTTGGCTTAGGATGGATATTGGTAGCAAACAGCATGGCAAATGGGTGTAAAAATACAGCTAAATCCAGACTGGTCTAAATCTCTGTTCAGTGAAGAATGGGCTGAAGGCAAACAGGCCTTTTATGGCTATTTAAGTGCAAAATCAGCAAAAAAAACCCCACCCAGAAGACTGTTAATAGATGGCAAGTTTAGTGATACCATAGTTCTGAAACAGCTGAGGATTAACCAGTTGTGTCTTTCTGAGTAGTTTTTCCTCATAAAGCTCTAGTGTCAGGCCATCATTGCAATAGAAGGTTATTTACCTTGCCAGGTCTCTCAGAATTATTGTGGAGGAGAATCTGCATACCTGAGAAATACTCTTGGAAAGGACTAGTTAGACTAGGGTTGAATATCGCCTTTAGGGTTTGGGGCCTTCATACAGAGAGCATTTTCTTTGTCCCTCTGCTGTGATCAGCAGCTTGCTCTTATTTCAGAATCAAGTCGTACGTCCAGTACTGCCTATCTGCACACAAGCGCCTGTATTTCTCGCAGAACAGTGCTTACCTCTATCACTGACGGGCTCATCAGTATGTAATTGGCAGCTTGGAAGTAATAAACATCTGCAACTGCTGACGTGAACGTGGTGCAGCTTAGACACAGGCATCATACAAGTGCTGATGATTCTCCGGTGTCCTCCTGTAGTCATCCCTGCATGTCCAGAAAAGGTGGTTAAGTTCTTCAACAGCTCTTTGGGAAAAAATTTCTCAGAGCATCTCCCAGTGCCTCCTGAGAAGCAGGAAGGCTGCCTGTGCACATGTTAATGCCATGTGCCTGTAGTGCCAACACGGGCCTAGGTGCTGCAAGGTTATTCTGTAGGATGGCTTCTCTAATTTGCAAGAAATAACCAGATATGTTAGTAGTTTGAGTTATCTCAGCAGGTAAGATGTATGATTAGGCTTGTTGAAAACAAATTATTACTCAGCTAGATCAGTAGATAGGCCTCTGTCTTTCCTTCTCCTGGCCTGGAGAACCAGATGGATATGTCTGGGTGTTTGGTTTTTTTTTTTTTTAAACTAGCCACTGGTACTGTCTACAGAATAGACTGCTTTATTTGCCAGTGTATTTAATCTTTTCTATATGCTGCTTATTTCCACTGGAGACTTAAAATTTTACTCATTGAAATGAATTAATGAATGTTGCTTTTTGTTTTAAAAAGGCAATGACTGTTTTTTGCCAGGGCTGTTCATCCACAGCTGTTAAGTCTTTTGGCATTGGCCCCAGATGTAAGCAAGCCTGAAACTCCAGATTAAAGATATTAAAACTAATTAAAGAAATTGTTTGTCACAAGTTCAAAGCTGTCAGGGAACCTGTGTAAATCATGAGATGTGATCTGTGGCCAAATAAGTTTTTCCTCTCTTTCAGACATTATGTATACTTGCCAATATAGCAGATGGAACAACAGCAAAAGAGCTGATTATGACCAATGATGACATCCTGCAGAAAATCAAATACTACATGGTATGGGGAATTTCTCTTAAAGGTTTTATGTTGGTCTTTTGCAGGAATAAAAAGAGGGTACTTTAGCATTTTGTTGTGTAAATTATTCAGTATCATGCAGTTAACTTTCATATATCCAGTTCTGTTTAAGAAGTCCTGTAGTGCAGTTCTGTATGGCAGAGGTGTACCGAAGATCTGATTAAAAGGAAGATCTAGTGGTTATTTCACATAAGAATGCTACAGTGACTTAAGCAATACCTGTAACAAATCTACCTGGAAAACATTTCATGATCTTGGAACAGGCATATCTTGTAGACCTCAATATTTGGAAGGAAGTGATTGAACGCTACTCAAGTGCCTTATGTTATGGCACTATCTTTGAGAGAAGTTGTAGATAATAGTCCCAACTTTGCTACCTTATTTGTTACAGGATGAATGCCAAAAATGTAAGCCTGACAATTTCTGAATTTCTTCTTCTAAACTTGAGTACTATTTTTCTATATCTAGAGTCATTCAAATGCTAAACTTCAGCTTGCTGCCATGTTCTGTATATCTAATCTCATATGGAATGAAGAAGAAGGTAAGAAAGCCTCGTTATTAATGCATATACAAATTACTATCCCGATCAAAAGGCTAATGTTGCATAGTAATCTATATTTGCAGTGCACAGCACAGTGGGATCCAAAGCATAAAGGGAGACATCATGATAGGTATGATCTGGGATAAGTGAGAGTGCGCAGGAGGGCATTGAGGAGAGTATGGAGAGCTGTTCTGGGGCAGGAAGGGGAGACACAAGAAGAGAGTGGCAATAAATAGGAGTTAATGAGAGTGACACAGCAGGAGGTTTCCACCTGTAGCATTTCTGTAAGATCTGAAAACAACTGGAGTGAAAGAGAATCCTAGTAAGAGAACTTCCAAGTCTTAAGGAAGTTGTGGAAGCTCATTGTTGGAGGGAACAGATTCACTGGAGAGGATAAATGGGGGATTTGTTGCAAAGAAATTTTCCCCAGCATGGAATGCTTGAATGGGTTGGGTGATGAGACTCTGAAACCAGTCAAAGGACTTGGGGGTGGAACCGGAAGGAATGGGGAAGGCATTCAGTAAGAGGAGCCATGGCCTGGAACAATGGAAGGTAACCAGGAGGGAGCTGAAGGGTGCTGCTGCACAGAAAAACGTGTGTGTTGAGGGATGGAGAGGACAGATGGAGGCAGCAGTGTGGAGCTGGAAGAAATGGCAGGGGAAGGGGTGGTGGGAGGTGGTGTGCTTTGAGGAATGGTGCGGCTGGCAGGAGGACTTTCTTGGATGATTTACAGATGTTCAAGTTGACTTTTCTGAAGAGCAGCATAGAAATCAGTGTCTCTACTTGGTTTTGTTGGGTCCCACCCCCCTCCCAACTTATTCCACATCTCTCAGATCACAGAACTGCAGTCAGTGTGTGACATTTGGCTGTGCTGCTGGTGGCTTTCTGCTCGTTATACTGACATTATAGAGTGCTACAAGTCAGACTTAAAAACACCACTTCCAGTTAAATGTTCCCTGCATCTAAATCAGAGAGATGAGAATAAACCAACTGAGGTCAAGCTTCTTACTTTAGGATAAAATGTGTTCAGATTTTTGCCTTCAGCATTTTATTTTCTTCAAATGTATGCACACGGAGTACAAAAAAAGAAACTAGAGCTCCCTTGGGAAGTAGCCACAACTGAGGGGGTTATTCCATTGCTGTGTTCTAACTGAACTGTGTTCCATACCCCTGCTTTAAGCTGGTTTCTTCTACCACTCCTTTCTTCTCTTATGCAAACATTTCTTTTTGGTGGTATTCCCAACAATTGGATTTGTTTTTGTAGGTTCACAAGAACGCCAAGATAAACTACGAGACATGGGCATAGTAGATATTCTACATAAATTGAGTCAGTCATCAGATCCAAATCTGTGTGACAAGTGAGTATAAACAAAATCCAAAAAGAAGATTAGAGCGAAATCTTTGCTTTCTATTTAAAAAGTATGTTATTTTGAAATTCTTTTGATTGTAGAAAAATTCCCCAGAAAAAAACTATCTATCATTGCACTGAGTTTTACAGTATATGAAGCAATTGTGATGAACAGTTCTTTAAAGAGCAGGTGTTGTATTGCTCCAGAGTAACAAATCATACTGAAGTTCTCAATAGTATAAAATAACTACACTTAAGATCTTCTAAACCAGTGAAGGGTCCTCTCTGAAATCTCACTGATACACAAACATTTGTGTAAACTTTCGACTACTAACAAAGCCCCAGAGGACTGGAACAATGATAACCCATCGTGTAATATTTATGAATTAAAAAGATAATACAAGGTCACCACTGCTGTTAATCTTAGTTAAATTCTTTTAAATTAATTAAGCTCACCAATAACTTTTCACATACCTATTCTGTTACTTGTAGTATCCACACAGATCATCTAGCTTCTTCACAAACACATAGTAACCAAAATAGCTAATGACAATTTCTGTTTTTTTATGTTAACTTTTTGCAATTATCCCACCTACAGTTAGTAACAATATTTCTTTCATGAACTAAAGATGATGATCTTATTTTTGGAAGAAATCATACACAGACAACATAACTCAAAACTGTGCAATGTTTTAAAATGCATTAAATATGGGTTTCTTGTTTTTACGAAAGATATTCCAATGTTCTTAGACATCTGTAGTAAAGCTAGAACTTCTCTGTTTAAAATCTATGCCAAAGATCAGTATTGAAGGTGATAATTGCGAACATACAGCTATCAATAACCAAGCTCACAGAAAATTATGGAAAACCCTAAATAGAGTTTTCGAACAGTGAGAAATAGGAATAAAGCTTACACCAGTAAAAATACGTTCTGGTAAATGGGCTTAAGCCTTGGTTTAAGAGACAGTGCTTAGCAAGTCACTGTCCCTCCTGTTTCTTCTTGCCACCTGCTCCCACTGTTTACCCTATCCCAGCTCTGCCTCATCAGCCTCCTCGATGAGTTGATACGACTTGTGAATGTGGCAGGAAACCTGGAAGAAAAAAAAAAAAATCTTCCTCTGGGTTGCCATGATAGTGTGGTTGGGAGGTGTGGGGGACAAGGGAAGAGCAAACCTTCTCGCTTCAGGCGGTAGGTAACACTGAATAGCTGAAATGATGATGAAACTGTAGCCCTAGGCTTTTGGGAGGTGGTTTTTTTTTTTCTTAACAAAAATGTTGCACAATGTTAGATTACATCAATTCCAGTATGATGCTGGCTGTTGCTTCTTTTCTCCCTCTCACCTCATTGTATGTTTTTGGTAGGGCCGATATTCCTGACAGAATTAATGTGCTTCTAGGATGTTCTGAGTTATGACACCTCTTTCATTTCTCAGCTCAAAGATCTGCTTTTCATGGTACATCAGAAAAAATAGAAAAAAAAATTGCTTTTCACAATTACCACTCTTAAGGTTTTTTATAAGTTGTGTTGATAATGAGGTTTAGTATACATCTTAAGCCCTGCCATACTTGAAAGTTGCTCAGTTTATGCGAAGCACCTAATACAATACTTAGATCATCTCATTCTTAGATGCAAGATGGATTCTCAAATTGTGACAGCCCAAATAGAGCAATTCTGCACCATGGGCTAGATTCTTCCAAACTGAAGGAGCCAGCCACGTGGCTTCCTTTTACCTCACTTGTTCATACTCCCTCTCTTGCTGGCATAGTCTCGTACATAAATCTGTTGATAAAGCCAAACCCCAGTAATTAACAGGTTGTTCCTTTATTGCAGGGCGAAGACAGCACTCCAGCAGTATCTTGCATGATCAAAGACTAATTGAATCTATGGACACCCCTCATGTCTACTTAAGGAATAGCAGGAGATATTCCTGACTCCTTATATTTGCACAAGTCACCTTGGGCTGCATTTTTCTCAGGTGCAGGGAGCTGCTTTGCAGAAACAGTTTAAATGATCAGGTCTCCAGTGCACTTGAGAATTTTCTTGAGGTAGTTTCTTTACTCAGAGGACTCTTGGGGGGTTGTTTTGGTTTTTGGGGGTTTTTTTCCTGAGCTACCTGGACTTTCGGATAGAACAATCAGTCATCATTCTCCTTTTGGGCCTACAATTTTCTGCTTTTGCTGCAGCCTGCATGTGTGGATGTGTGTGGGTGTGCTCGAGTGTGTGGGTGTGCTTGGGTGAATGTGTGTGGGTGTGATACCTCAATTTTGTTTTTTCTTTTTTGTGTGTGTGAAAATCTTTTTCTACAGGTTTTCAAGGGTTAACCATTGTTTGCTGTACGAATACTTCAATGAATTATATACAGTTTGAATGAAATGTTATTTAAAAAAAAAACCAAACTGTTGTATCCCATAAAGTTTATTTTGAATTTTGAAGAGATGAATGTTTTTAAGTAAAATATATGCATTTCTGAACTTCAGCTTAACTTACATTATACTTCCTTTCTAAAGAGAAAAATAGAGGGAGACAGTAGACCCCAATTATAAGCAGCGCATTCTGTACTGACAAGGTCCAAGAGTTTGTTACTGCCATACACGGTCACCTGGTACTGATGACATGCTCAAACCCATGGAATGGGTCAACTGGATTGTTTTGGGTTTCTTTACGTTTTTAGAAGAAAAGCTCATACTTCAGAGTTAGCATGAGTGTTGACTTTTCTGGAAGGGAACAGGTGGCTGCAATATCAGTGGGCATAAGCTATTGCTTTAGTAGCCAAGCAGGTGCTCAGATAATTGCTGAAGGATTAGCTTATTTCACTGGTGATAAGTATTTGCCGATCACTAATATCAATAGAGCAAACAGTATGTTGCAGAAGTCATACTTTCAAGAGACCAGAAGGAGCTGGCAAGCAGTGATTAAGGGATTGCTTTTGTTTTCCATCCTTTACCTCCAGATATAGTTAAGTGACTTACAGATTGTTTTCCACAAAAAGATCAGCTGGGTGCATTAAGTTGGGGAAGGGATGGAAAAATCGGGGTTTTGGTTTGTTGGGGTTTTTTTTAGCTCAGTAATGTCACTACAGATTTTGTGTATATATGCAGATATACACACTTGCATGGATTTGGATACCTGGATAATAAGCAATGGGATTTTACTGCATTCAGAAGCCTAGGTTGTCCATAAGTTCCTGAAGTAGTGCCTGTAAGTGTGAAGAAAAAAGTACGAGTACAAATGAAGATGACTGTGTAAGATTAGGCTGGAATATGAGACTCTTGTGGCTTCACAGTCAAATATGCATAAAACAAATGAGGGCAGCAAGGAGCTCTCTCCTTCATGCAGTTCAGGGTTCTTGCTTTCTTCACATGTCTACTTCCTGATTTCAGTTTAGACCATAGTTTTAATAGTCAGAATCTCCAAACACTATATTTATATAGCACTAACAGGCACACTAAAGATTGCAGCCGATGTCTTAAACCAAATCTTTCTTTTGTTACATTGAACTTCAGGAAGGCTGCAGCAAGAAGAGAGGTCTGTAACTTTGCTAACCAATTTTGATAAGCATCTTAATCTTTTATTTCTAATCAGAAGGTCAAATTGTGATAGCCTTACTTTTTTCCAAGGTAACTACTTGTGTCAGAAAATGTGACCACAGTTTGGCCTGGAATTTGAATGTGCTATGTATCAGACAACTGTTATCACTTGGTTGCAAAGAAGAATATATACATTTCATGTAACTTCTTCCACTTTTGAAAGACAAATAAAAGTGAGCACCTGACACTTTTTCCCCAGGCATTGCAGTAAGTGACTGGCAGTTTTTTTTAATGTCCTTCTGCAAATTTTTCATGATGGACTTCGGGGGCTAACAAAAGGGAAAGTAAAAATATGTGAGAACTTGATAAATATCAGTACCTCAGAAGTGAAGTCTTACTTGTAAAGTTCAATCAAATATATTTTTGCTTGAACTGAGAAGAAAGTTCTGAGGTAGGTATTGTAAATGCAAAACTGCACAGCGTGCATCTGACATCTTAATTTGCATTCCT